TGACAGTTTTCATTTTGGTCTGAACCCTGTTCCAAATTGTTTGTGGAGAAGTTGACTAAAGGACAAAGCGGCAAGGTTGAAGGGCGACAGAAAACTCTGTTATTCCGATTAGAAAGTGATCAGATGCACGAGCACAACCGTCTACTGCACTCAGGCATTGGTTGAACTGATCCCGAGATGTTAAACACGGAACCCCAATGTGACCACCCTGAGCCGGGTTTTGATGCCCTTATGTGTCAGATCAGGGTTTGACCGTTTGTTAGCTTTCGCTTATCAATGCCTGCCTCGAAAAATATCGCCAGTGGTAGGCAACGGAACACCAAGCTCTACTACCCAAACTAAAACAGCAAAAACTTGTCTGTTTACACATCTGACACTTTGAACAGATAGTACAATCAGAGAAGTTTCATTATCCACCAGGTTTATTCCTGATCAGCATACCAAGCCTAGGTTGTCAATCTTGTTTACTGAGTTGAGACCCTCAGAGATTACTTTTGTAATTTCTTGACGTTTTTTATTGTAAAAGACACCAATTATCTATTTTAAGAGGCAGCTACATTAATATTTTAGTTGTTAGCATCAAACATATTGTTTTTTATAGGGGTAGTTTTTCAAGAAAATCTACGTAAGCTTCGTGAGAACAGTGACATAGGGTCTCAATTACATAATTCAATCCTATATACATTATTGCAATCAACTGGGTCACAATTACTTCACATCTACGACTGTCAACAAAAACAAAAAAGAACTAAAACACTCCGAAATCATAACACCAAGCGGCATCCAGCTGATACTCATTAACTCCCCCCTCCCAAAAAAAGGAATTTCATTGCTTGAACACTGTTGAGAAAACACATTTTGTAAATCTACCTGGCAAGCAAGAGTAAAATGTTTTTGAATGGGAAGAACACGATCACTAGAAATCATTCTTCGCCGAGGGCCCTCTTGGCATGTCAGGAGTTAAATTATTCAGCGATCGAAAAAAGACAACTTACCATTCGCGCGGCCTCATCCAAATCACTGCAACCAAGGATTTTCATGTCACTACTGGCTATTATGGCCTTGGCGTCCTCGACTCTTGTCCCTTCAAGCATGTTCATGATGATAGCACGCGGGTGGGGAGGGAAGTGGGAAAAATAAATTGCATACTGTATCAAAAATTCCGAACCCAAAACCACTACAATGTTCCTGCGTTCTATTTCATTGAAAGCAGACAAAAGTAACCGCGTCGATCAGCTAGTCCATGGCCAAATGACTTGTGGTCTGTTAACCAACTGCTTCGCTGTCACCTGGATGTGTGGTTAATGGAATGATATTGCCAATTATATCCACAAAACGCCTAAATAATTTGGCAGCTTCTTCGGTTAGAATTTTCTTCTAAACGACAAAGTGCATTTACAAGGAGGAATTTCAGCAGTTGTACGAGCTAATTACAGAAATCTCTTCCACTGATTCTGGAGAACATGACGCGCGTATTGTTCCTGACCAATCGCAACGCTAAATGTGATTTCTCTGATCCCTGTCGCGTTGAACGTTGACCGAGAAGAAGCAAGACTTGCACAAGAATGGGTAAGATGGAACAATTTTCATTTTCAGCTCTCAGTTACTTGTGAGTAGTAATGTGAAATAAGTGTTACTGATTTTGGCTGGTGATGCTACAGAATTTTTCATCACGCACAAAACGCAGTTCATCAGACCAACCGAGCGAGCATTCGGAAATCGCCAAACCTGAATCATTCCCTTGATGAAGGCCATTAGTAGTGCGTATTGACTGGTCTATCCCGGATCTGCATTTCAAACCACTTGCGATGAAGGAAATGTTGTCCCCATATATTGTATATCGGTGTGCACTGGGGTTGACTGGAGTCACTGAGCTAGATTTGTTCAGATATCGATCGACCAAAGTTTGGCCCAGTTACTGCATCATCTGAAAAAATTTCTCCTCTAAACACATCAACTAAAAAGTTGTTAGAAGGATTTTAACAGAAGCCAATCACACATGAATAGATTGGTAAAGCGTGAAAAAAAAGAAACTAAGCATACAGCAACCCAAATGAAACTTCTAACGTAATTCAGCTCTTTTGGGCGGCAAGGTGTTGAGGGGATAATCCATGGGGAGAATAAAAACAATCTAATCAGTAAGTATTCGGGGGAGGGGTGGTACACCACAAAGTGTAGTGCAAATGTTACACGAACAGAGAACGGCAGTGAGGAGCGATAAGGACAGTCTTTGAAAAGATACAGTAAGAAGTTGCGTACGGAACTTTGGACCGAAACTCCCATATAAGCTAAACGATGGATACAGCACTGTATAAAATCCACAATTGAAGGAAATTAGGAGAACCGAACCACAGACTCCTCCATTGGAAACATCGCTTTAAACGATGAAGACAACCCAGTAACAGAACGTGTCATGCACCGATGTCTGACTGAAATGATCAGAAATAAGTCAACAACAGCTTGAATCGTGCGCATTCTTAATTTACAGTTGGGAACTAATTATATAAAACGGAGTGGACATGTACAATGTGGATTTGGAAGCAGTTAGTGTACGCTTTTCAGACCAGAATTTCTTCGCCAACAAGACAGGCCAGATGTCATACCGCAGTAGTATTTTTACGTGCCACGGCGACCTGATCATAAATTGTACTTTTACCGACAATGAGACTGAAACTACCAGTACGGTCAACTAAAAAAACAATCGGATAACTAACGTTCGAATGAAGCGAGCAATCGCAAGACCAATGAGATATGCGCTAACATATGCAGGTGTCGAAGAAAATCGAATCTGATTGAATGACGAAAGCCAAAACGGTCTGCGACAGACAACCGATACGAGGCGTAGTTGAACACAATAGAAACGGCAGAGCAGTCTAGTGACGCACATCTTCTGCCTAACAGAACGAATCCGTATTCTGCATGTTTTCTGCGGAGTACAAAAGGCTGCGTTCTAAGGAGGTATATAAAGGGAACCGGTCTCATTCTGTACAATAATTTCCTTCCGAAAGAAGCATTTTAATGGGAAAAAGTTATAAGTCAATCTAAAGCGGGAAGATGGCAAGCGAAGTATGGGTGAATAAATTCATCTAGAATACCGAAATGGTCAATGGCCAAATGGTTAAGATTATCCGGATAGTGTAGTGGATGTCCCGAGTTTGAATCGTGGCGCGGTCGTCCATCTTCCCCGTTTCTGTATTCTCTCCTTCCCCCTTAGCAAAAATAGTATAGTATAGTATAGTATAGTATATTGAATCGATGAAAAAGGAAGAAGAAAAGTACTCGTGTTTATTTGCATTTGTACACTGAAACGCCCTAATTGAAATCTCAGTTTCACTACTGCAAATGCAATCAGTAGTTAAAAACCATAGACAATCATTATCGATTGTAAGGTAACTTGAACGTATAAGCACATACGCACACTGTCCCCAAACTTCATTTCACACACACACACACACACACACACACACACACACACACACACACACAGGGAGAGAGAGACGCACGCGTGCACATCTATGCTATGCGCGGGCTGCATGATAGACAGTAGTGATTTTTTCGAGCGACAGCCGAGTGGGTTGATGTAGTGAACACAATAAACGAATAGTGCACTGGGTAACGATTACCAAACAACACCGTAGTTTCTTTAGGGCTAAAAACACAACAGATCATTTTGTGATCGAGTGATGCCGTTCGCGCACATAAGCATACGCGCATGCATGCACCCACCAACGCGATGGATTGCAGGATCCGGTGATGATAAGTGCCTAGTTCTCCTCGAGTACTATGACTCATCAACAGACACAAGTTGCCCGATAGATTGCGCGACCAAACTGTCAAACGGACTGGACTCAAGGAAACGACTTCGGTTGAAGCATGAATTAAGTTTTTAAAACAGAGTGAATAGGCCCGGTTTGATTTTATGATGGAATCCTGCTGAGCCCGGAACGGGTACGAGCCCATGCGATCGCTAAGCTAGCTGAACATGTACGGGTAGACTAACCTTGACTATACAGTTTGAAATTCTGTCATACAATCTAGAAAATTTCGGATTTAAGGAACTGCGAGCGAAATAAGCGGCTACAAACGGGGGGGGGACATGTTTTTTAAGCCAAACCTAAGAGAGCAAACTGAAACGGAACGCAGTGTAAGATGAGCAGAGGGAAATAACATGGAATTACAGGCACAGAAGCTCCGTCTGGCGCTAGCAGCACCAAGGAGACTAACGAAGCTTTAATGGCAGATGAGAAAGTTTCCTTTGTAACCAGATGTTGCAACGGATACCAAGTCGACAGAACCATCGGAATCTGACGGTAACACGAAGATCCGGGTACGCAAACTTAGTAAAAAAGAGTCGGTCAAACTAAAGTCTAGCAAAATTGAGGCTGAAAAATGACGGGAATCCAAGGTCTTGGCCCCGGACCGGGGTTTATGTATTGTGCACAGAATTCAGTGTTCGCGCATATTCAATTCATGTGTTGACCGTCGTTTGTGTAGTCTGAGGGGTTTGGATTTGCAATTCCAAACCCGAGGTTTCGCAATTCAAGTCCCGAGGAGGATAAAAGAAGTAGCAGTAACTGTTGACAAGTTCCGAAGAATATTAAACAACAATCGTTCAGGGCCTCTTGATTGGCAACAAAAACTCCACGGCGATCACCATAAACGTTCCACCAATCACAGACATAAATTAGACCGAAAAATTTAGCATTAACTTTTCCATCACTTACTAGTGTGTGGTGCACAGAAGAAGGCACACACCTAATGGTCAAGAGGTTGTACTATTCTCTCTTGGCAATCAGCAACATGAGCTCTGGGACTCGAAGTGGCGAACCACAAAAGACTTTAATGGTATCAGCCTGGCAATATTGCGCCCGACGATAGAATAGCAGGGTTCGTATATCCGAATTCAGAAACCAAAGCACGTCAGCGATGGCTAAGTAAAGCACTTGACTACTATAGCTATAAGTTGGTGGAGATGAGACAATATGAACCACGGCACATTTTCACACGAGAAGGTTTACCGCCGATTGATGAGGGAGGATGAAGATAGACAGATATCCTCTTTCCCGAGAAGGCTCACCCGATGTGGACAATTTCGGCTCATCCGTACGTAGTGCTCCTGAGTTTCACAAAACAATAGATAAAATTATATGGGTCACAAGCTTTGAATCGGAGGTGTCGAATAGCCATCGGTCAAAATTGAAATCAACCCGAAACAGAACCGTTCAAACGGTTGTACGAGTGATTAGCCTCGAGGGGGAAGAATCCTTCCAACCTACCTTGCAATCGAACAACAATAGGCACTTTGATATTCAGCTCCGCGGCCGCAGCCACGATTCCTTGAGCGATCACATCACAACGCATGATTCCACCGAAGATGTTCACCAGAATAGCGTG